GAGAGGTGATAATATCCCTCCTTGAGGACATCCTTTTGTTGTTCTAACTTCTATAGTGTTTATTCCTATATTTGTTTCAGCTATTCTAGTTCTTAGAAGTTCTCCAATCCATCTAGATGTGGTTTGGTCTACGTGTTTTTTCCTCAGGGAGGCTTCCATTGATGCATGAGATGCGTTGTCGAAAGCTCCCTCAATGTCGAGGAACGCGCAGATTGCTATTTCTTTTGTTTCCAGTGTTTCTTTTAGATCACTGGTTAGTTCGTACAGTGCAGTTTCTGTTGATCTTCCTGTTCTGTATGCATGCTGACAGTAATGGAGAGGCTTGTTTACCAGTGCTGTCGTTCTTATATGGTTGTCTATCAGCTTTTCAAGGGTCTTTAATAAAAAGGATGTTAAGCTGATTGGTCTGTAGGATTTGGGGGATGTGGGGTCTCTTTTCCCCACTTTTGGTATAAACACCACCCTTGCCCTACGCCATGTCTGTGGTTTATAACCTAGTGCTAAACTACTTCTATATATTCCTATCAGTGTTGGAGTAATTATATCCATTCCTTTTTGTAACAGGATGGGAAAGATTCCATCCGTTCCTGGCGCTTTGTACGGGCTGAAAGTGTTAATAGCCCAGAGGTGTTAAGAGCACAAATGTATCAAGAGCTCAGTTTTCAGAAAACCCTTGGAGGATATAAATAGGTAAAGAGTGAATATTCCCACTCGACTAAGAGTAGGCCATCTGAGGTTGACAGACTATACTTTATTTCATATGTAAGGCAAAAAATTTAGAAATCACAAAGTACAGAGTAAAATTGAGAATTAATGGAAGAAAAACAGGATCCTAATTTTCAGAATTGGCCTTAAAATCCAGTCGCCAGACTGAAAATATGGTAAAAGATGATTAAATTGAAATAGAGTATCGATTAGCAGGGGAGGGTCCCTAGGATGATCTGAATAGGTGAAGAGTTATCGTACTCACGTTTCTAAGAATAGGTCAAACAGTGTTGATGGAAAAACTAATGAAGATGACATTTTGCCTGTTGTTTATCAAACTTTCCATAGGAATAAATGAAAAGAAATGCTTCATGTGTTGTTTTATAAACACAGCATAGATATCGACAAATCACAAAATAATCAGAGCCCTAGTTGTTTATTGAAGATGTTTGAAACATGTTGAAAAAGGTGGGACAGAATTTATTACATGATAGATTATTCTAATATAGAAAATATTTACAAATATTTCAATGATTATTAACAAAAACAATTATAATTGGAGCTGTTTATTTCAATCACTTTGCTATACGTATAACATGCACCCCAACTAATACTTCTGTCTATCAATCTTTTGAATTTGAACAATTTATTTCACTGATTATTAACAAAAACAATGATAATTGGAGCTTTTTAAACTGACTTTTGCACTCCACAACAAAAGAATTTGACAATATTAAGTCAAAGTTATTTTATTTCATTTTGAAATAAGTTCTTTTTATAATAATAACCACATGTACTATATTGTGTTTTGTAGCCTTTGCTTTTGTATCAATGTTGTTATAAATGTACATTTTATTGGTTGATCAAAAGTTCATTCCTGTTGAAAGTTCAAACAATACTTACATAAGATTTTGTAAAATTATTCTAAGATTCTATTTAGTATTAGCTCAAGAAATCATATTCTGCCCTTTTTATATGTTTTAGTTATTATTTAATACAATTTTTCTGTAATCTGATTGTCATTGTACATTATATTTCATTTATTGTAAGTTTTTTATATTTTTTGTGTTTTTCTTTTCTAGATGGTGTTGTGCTGTTTCTGTATCTTTTTCCTACATTTTCACAAAGTGCTATTTAAACAGTGCGTTAAGTTGTTTCGCGAGTGTTGATCAGTGTGTGTAGTTAGCTGGTCATCGTAGCTGTTTTAAAGTGAGGATTGTTGCCTCAGAGGGTAAATTTCATTTATATAACATCTATTTATGTAAGTTGTCTACTATTCTCTCATTAAAACTTAATTTTTTCTTTTTCCAGGAGGGATTTACAAATGGTAAATCAACTCTCTCTGCTGGCAGTCAGGTTAGTGAGCATGTTAGTATTAATATTTTATTATTGGCACATCCGACAATACTATACTCTGGGTTTAATACTATCTGCCTGTAACAATGAAATGCAAATTTTAACACAGGTAGTGTTCCAAAAACATTATCTCCTATGTACAGAACTATCTTAGAATGGTTAGAAGTTGCAAAAATGTGTTTTCCCAACTAGATAATTTTTATTTTTTGTTTATAAAACTTTAATTCATACAAATTGCAAGGAAAAATGTACAAAAAGTTCAATTTTTTATTTTTTTTTGTACAAATCCAGGTGCCATCAATATCCGAGATCTGGTAGAAATAGCCATCAGTATCCAAATTCGGAACTAACACTTCTGCTGGTAGGTTAAAATTTAAAAACTAGTTAATACACTTACATTTTAGAATTTTTTCGTATTTTAAATGTTTCACTAGTTTTACAAAGTTTTTTAAATCTGTGATATAATTGCTGGAGCAATTGGTACGTATTGTATCTAGTAGATGGTATGGTATGTATTTTTTAAATTGTTAGGTATTTCAAATGTTTCAATAGTTTTAGATAGGTTTTTTACATTTTGCGTACAATTTCTGGAGTGAGTGGTATCTCAGACCTAGTAGAAATAGTATAATACATCGATATTCAAACTCGCAACTAACTCATCCACGAGTAGTAGGAAATCTAAAAACCACTAGAAACACCTACTTTTTCAAAAAATTTAATTATTTCAGATGTTTCATAGTTTTAGGAAGTTGTTTTTCATTTTTGGTACAATTTCTGGAAAGATCGGTATCTGAGATGTACTAAAAATAATCAAAGAAGTAGTTAGTATAGGTGACACTTGGGCAGACAGGTTTTACCCCCTCCACCTTCCCTGTCATGGCGTCTGGCGAGACAGTTTTTACCACCTCTTTTCCTCCTTCCAGACACCCCCACCACTAGTCGTCGGGTCTGATGGAGCCTAGGAGTGACATCACTTTTCAATTGTTTTTGGCGACTGACGTCACTGATTTTTTCGATAGTTTGACGAGTGACGTCACTGATTTTTTTCACCACTGGTATTTGATGAGGGTTGTGGCTACCTTTTTTTCACCATATTGTGTCATGGGTTAAGAAAAACTGCAGGTTTGAAGAATATATATATTATTTATAAAGTGTTACAATTAAATGAATTCAATTTCGTGGTAACCTTTGTATACTAGTGAAGTAAGGTAAGTCAATATTTGTACAAAATAAATAAATTCACTAATTTCGTGGTCCGCTTGACCAATTAAATCGTTCGAATCCCGCTCGTGCCATTAACTTTTTTTCATCTCGACTAAAAACCTTAATTAAAAATAAATAAAGTTATGTATTCATATGTATTACCTTGCGTTATTTGGACGACCTCCTTCAGCGAACGCCTACGACGAAATGAACTCGGTTTGATCGACTGCGCATTATATTATCAAACGTGGACTAGCATTTTCCTGCATTTCTGAGCCCTGTAGTGTGTGTGATTTCTTTACAAATACTCATTATGGATTGATCGAGGTTAAAGTCTATCATAGCAATATGATGAAAATAAAAATGGTAAACAAACAAAAGTTCATGCATGTCTACATTCTCCAGGTTGTGAATTATTTTTTGTTATTATTTATAAAATAAAATAAAACGAAGACATTAAACTATGTATCTTTCTTTCTCTGTAAAGCCTCCTCACTACGGCAAAGTGGAAATACAACGAGGAGGAGGTTTGAAATAATTTTCATACAACAATTTTGGATTTCGGGTTTTTTACGACCTCGCCAGGGGGCGTCCAATCGCTCAAGTTTACGAGTGCTTAACCACCACGCCAGTGACCATTCATACTTTCATACCGTTATATTGAAAATTACTTCAAACCCACAAAAACATAAAATATTTTCTTCTTAAAAAAAATTGTACAAAATAGGTAGGTACAAAATATAAGGAGAAAAAAATTTACTTTAAAAACTGCCTTCTTATAAAAACTATATTTTCTTTAAAAAAAATTGCCGTCTTCTTAAAACAAAATTCTTCTGTCCGCTAAATATTATTTTAATATCTCTAATAAATTATTTACAAATATCCAATTAGACAAGGCGTATGCGCGAAAATGAGTGCACATCTTTGGCGTAATATTTATGGATTAAATAATGTGTCCCTTCTTGCGCTGGTGTCAAAATTCCAATTTGGTCTATTACATTATCGGTGAAATATGAGAGAAACCTCTTCTTTTGTAAGCCTTTAACAAAAATCTTTTTAAACCTATCAAGATGATGACGTAAAATCTATCTAATTGGTCATAGTCTACATCACGATCTTCCCATTTTATTTTATGGAAATACCGATGTAACCAACTATTTACTTGAAGACTGGACTCGTTTTGCGCACATTCCTCCGGCGGTTTGAAAACCCAATGTGGACTCGAATAGTGGTCAAGATCTACAATCGACAATACTTTTACAATATATGCATTCGTGTTGTTCACAAACCATTGAATTTCTACAGCAGATGCTCTGTTCGAACTCATGGTAGCAAATGAATTGAAATGTTCTGGTTTTTGGAATTTATACCATTTTATGAACGATGTTGTAGAGAGGATTGTATTCTATTATTCTATCATGTATTATGAGACAATAAGCGGTGGTATCAGAAGGAAACGGTTTATTAGCTTCGAATTCGAGTCTCACATCTACCGGAGCAGTTTTTGTGGATTCGGACTGTTTGGCACAATCAATTACGACAATAGGAGCTTCATCTCTGAAGTGAGATAATGACAGCAAAGGAGAGGGATTAGTATGGAGCAACGGCTCAGAGTAGTAATTTTTTTGAAAGTTTGCATACATATAGTATAACATTCCGTATTGGTTATTTGCAAAATGTATGTTTAAATCATCGTATGGGTAAGATTTCGAATTTAAAAAAAGTTTTATATTAGTCAAACAGCAATGGTCAAAATTACTTGAATTCACCAACGAATTATTTTTTCTAGACGACTGAAATGCCAAAATTACGAAACGAGGTTTTTCCATTTGAGTAGAAGTTTTGACCGGCCACAACTGTCTCTGAGTCGTAGGTAGTAGCGGGTAATAGTACAACTCCCAACATCTAAATGGTATCGATATTACTTTTTCCTTTTTCAAATGCTTCAACATCAATAGTTTCTGATATTCGTTTAAATAGAGAGAGGGCATTTTCCAAGAGAGATTCGTCAACTCTATTTTCGCTTTTCCGAATTATCTGTTGAAATGTAAGAGTTTTCATCCCTTCTGGATCGTATCAATATGAGCTCTTGTTTCACGTTGATGATAACTTTTTGGTAATCTGCAAAACCGAGTTACAATCGTAATGGGATGCATACATTGAAATGACCTTCACTCGAATTCAAACTTAGAGTTTTAGATCCTGGTGAGATCCAGCCAGCATTCTCATTGATGCCGTGACGTCTTATTAACCCTTAAAAGTACTGTTAAACCCTTCAAAGTACTGGAAATTCCCGGATTTTTAATTCTGTCTATTTCTGTTCCACAGATTTCGTACCTAATTTCATCGAACAAAAAAGCGTTCTGAGTTAATGTACTATTAGTTGGTACGCCGTCTTCTTTTAAAATTTTCCCTTCTAAATAGAGAAACTCTCGCATGGTAATGTGTAAATATCTTGGTGCTGAACAGTGATTCTAATTTCATCACCATGTTGTAATTTTGTCGATGTATAAGGATAATGTGAATGTAATTCTATACCTTCTATGATCTCATCGCAACTAGGGCGTTCTTCTACATGTAACATTTCCTTTGTGATTTCGATAAAATTTTATATTTGGCCGTTTTCAAAAATTCTATATTTTCTTCCGACACGAGAGGTCGTTTCTCGTTAACTCCCCGTGGAAGACTGGACCGAACTATCGAAGTTTACCATCCCTCTTTTTATATACTTTTCTGAAGTCTAATCTCATTGCTTCCAGAAAAGATACTGAATTTTTCTTTAGAAATTGTTTATTTTATAAGGTCTTGCAAAATAAACAAAGATGGCCGCAGTGATTAGAATTTGGAGACTGATACCGCCGTTTGTTCACAATTATACGGGCATTCTCCAAATATTTGAGGAATTGAGGCGGAGGTTTTCGTTTACCAATGCTATCAAAATATCTCACCAAATTCCCTATTTTTTTATAGGAAACCCAATGGGTTCCACGTGCAGAACTTTTATTCAAATTCAATATTGCACATTCGTTTGTACGCGGTTTGTTAGGGTGGGTATCCCTCATAAAAACACCTCTGAAATCTGGAGTCTTTTTCGAACGGGCTATTCTAGTAATGTCAAAATTTGTTAAACTCCATTGCGGAAAAGTAGATAATACTTGTTTTACTTTCTTCGACAAAGGATATAACTTACAACTACCGATTTTCTTAGGTGGGCGAATATTGCGTTTTGACTTTTGTTTTCTGTCCATGTTCTTTACTTGTCAAAATTTTCCAGCTCGCATTTTGAACATGATTGTTGAGCTATGCATAAGTTTGGTCCGTGGAGTATAGCATTGTCTGAAAGTTTTTTCTCCTGCCTTGTTTCTATATCGAAGAATACGAATAAATTTTGTATATGTAGGAGACCTTTTGTCCTGCTTAATATAGCATAAATGTTGACTATTTTTGAAAGCGTTGCAGATTGTACAAAACATTTCACCGCCCTCATGAGGTGCGTTCCGTTGAACCGAATTGTAAGTAGTGCTGCATAAAGTACATCGATTTATTTTCTGGCGTATCGATTTCCCTTTACTGCTGCTCATTAAGTGACTTGTAAAGCAGGTATAATTAGGAAAATCTCGCGAACAGTCGTTACAAAAAGTCGGCTTAGGATCTTTTTGCATTTCGGTTTTGTTTGAAACAGAATGAACAAATTTCTCTTCAAATATGTCTTTCTTTGTTAGAATAAGTGACGTTGGATTTTTAACAAAAATAGTGGGCATTAAACACAGATGTACAGCTTGAAATTACATTAAAGTGATTATTTTCGTGTATTAAATTAATTTTATAAAGCGCAGATGAATTTTCCCCTTGAAAAAGCTTAACGCGTTTATTATTTTTAAACCCAAACACAGTTATGTCGTAATTTCTTAGATAATTTTGAAATTTCCTCAGTTCATCTATTCCTGCACCTTCTTCTTTTATCTCAACACCGGATTTTTTAATCAATTTTTTGGCTTTTATTTCTTGCAATTTGAAATAGTCTCGTCTGATTTTTATATACTTTGGATCTCTTTTACCCCCTGTTTTAGCCAATACCCGACCTACTACTAACGCCCGTGGTAAACATAAACGATCTTTATTGGTAATTGTTATTATTCCTCTTTTTAGTCGAGACATATCCTTGAAAAGAAAAGTTTTTTATATTCACTATTCCCGTTCCTGTAGGCATTTCTACGATTGAGGCAGTTACATTGAAATCGTCTGTCTGTTCTGGCGTGCATTACTTTGAATCATATCCCATACACTGCCTCCAACAATCTCCTGAGCATCGGTATAAGGGATCCACCCCTGATTAGCGATGTTAGCGTTACTAAACGTTAGACCGATTTTATCTCTAGGATTAGAATTTCTTTTAACATACTCCGTAACATCGTCAGTTGTCATGATGTTTAAGAAGCAAGATGTATCGTTCTCGTTCGGGAATATAGATAATGAATCACATAAAAATCAATTTTTTAAACATAACCCCCTATTGCCCAATAGCATTAGATGTTTAATTTCAGGACCATCTAATTGTGGTAAAACTAATTTAATGCTAAATCTCATATACAATTTGAATGGGTTGACATTTCAGAATGTTTATCTCTTTAGTAAATCTATTTATCAGCCAAAGTATGTAAAATTGAAAACTATTTTCTCCAATTTTAAAGAAATTATTATTTTTTTAATGTTCCTCAATAATGATCACGTGCCACTATCAAACGAAGCCCTCCCGGATTCTATTATTATATTTGATGACATCCTACTTTTGCTTGAGACCGCATAGTAGTATAAACTCGTTGTACCTGTGTCAAAGATACACCAGGGTGCCCATACATTTGATAAGAGATAACGTCAACTTATTTATTATTTTCAAACAGGATTTACTAAATATGAAAAGAATATATGAAGATCATGTAAACTCGGATTTATCATTTAAGGAATTTTCCAATATTTGTCGAAAATGCTGGGACGATGGCAATTACGGGTTTCTCGTGATCAACAAAGATTCGCCATTAAAAAATGGCCGCTACCGCAAAGGTTTTGATACCTATATAATGTTGTGAAATAGAGAAAAAAATCATTAAATCGATGACGATGGAAGAAATAACATCTAGTTTGGCTCGTGAAATAGCAGAAACTAGAGAGAATATTCGCGAAAAAAAATAACGCTCTTAAAAGATTGAAGGAGGAAAATGAAGAATATCTCAAAGTTAAATATAAACCTATAGTTAATGC